CCGGGGCCCCCGCATCGCAGCCTGACCCACGCCTGTCCGGCGGGGAGGGCACGTAATGGCCACTGCCTTTCTCCAGCAGCGTCATGCACGGCTTTAAACCCACTATCTGGGGTGAGGTGGAAAACGGGGCCACTGATTGCTCTGATTTTGTGGAAGGACAGTCTCGTGAGCCTCGGTGGGGAAACACCCACCAGCTGGGAATGTGGGCTCCGTGGACCCTGCGTCTGCCCTGACCCAGCCCACAGCACAGGCCCAAGCCGAGTATGAATTTGTGTCGAGCAAGACTTTGCCCCACAGCCCTTGAACTGTGTGCCAGAGTGAGCGCGCCTGCTGTACTTGAAGCAACTCTGGCTCCGGCATCAGTTCTTATCTGGATTTATCTTCAAAATCAGTGAAATAGCAGCTTGGAGAGAGGGGCTGATGACCCGGACGGTAAAACTAGAGCTACTGCGAGTTTTTCCTTCCCTCAGGAAATCATGTATCAAAAGTCATTTTTAACTTAAGTAACATTAAATTCACTCAAATATATTCATTTCCTGCAGGCTAACTATCTCCCAGAGATGTGGAGATGAAGAAGACACGCAACACGTCCTCGATCCAACGTTGAGTTCTCTGACATAAAGCTGTGTCAGGCTCTCAGCTAGGGGAGCGCTGCGGGCCCCTAAAAGCAGCTCCCCAGGGGCTCTACTGAGAACTGGGTAACGATCGCGCTGGGCGCTGGCAGCTGCCCCAGGACACCCAGGGGCAGCCGGCAGCAGGCCGCAGGCTGAGGCCCCGCGGCTGTGCAGTCAGCCAGGAGGGGCGACCTCTGCTTCCGGCCCGAGGGGCGGCCCGGGAGAGGCACGGGGGTCCCCGAGGTCTGGCACGGCCACTTACCGAAGGCTTGGCGATCTTTGACCTGTCGTCCTGCAATTAACAACAAGAAACATTACAAATGAGAAGACGGGCGGCCACACACCATCTCCAGAGAGCTGGCTTTAGATGTTCTGCAGGCCTCACCGCTCCGGAGTCAGCACTGAGGCTGGCCCAGCTCGGCCCATCGGGCTCAAGCGCAAGAGTGAGCAGCCGCTGAGGCGAGGCTTCCAGGCCAGGGCTCCTGCTTCGGGGCGCCGCTGACGCAGACACCTCCCGGACTCGGGCCGGCCCTCTGCCTCGCCACCAGCCGAGGCCGCTGGGCCGGGCCGGTCTCCGCTGCCCCGAGCCCTCGAGGGCGTGATGTCTGGCGGCGAGCGGTGGGTGGGTGCGAGGGCAGCTCATTTGTGTGACAGCCTAGGGAGTTTCCGCCATCTCCCGTCGTAAGGTCATAATCCATGACCCTCTGGCAAGGCTGCCCAGGATGACGTGTGCACAAGCTGGCCGCAGGGGAGCTGAGTGCACCGGGGAGGCAGGATGTCACCTCAGGGGCCTCTGGCACGTAAAGTGACGTCACTTTGTGAAATGCGGACAAGTAAAGTGCCCAGGCGGACGGAGCCGCCCTCCAAACGTCCCTCCCGCGCCAAGCCGAAGACGGCAGCCCACTCCCAAACTGAGGTGCTTCCTGTCCCGGCCCCCCGAGAGCCGGCTTACCTCCCCGTCCCGCTCAGCCCAGCCTCGGTCAGCCACAAGCAAGAACATCTCTGCGGTTTTCACTTTCTGGGGGCTTCTCGGTGCCGCGAGGGAGCACATGTGCCTGCTCCCTCAGGTCAGGGCCACGCCGGCAGCC